AGGAGAGAGGGAAAGGGGGGGGGGGGTGGGCGGGGGGGCCGCGCGGGCCGCTGGGGCGCCCCGCGGCCTCGCCCCGGCCGGGCGGGGCGCGTCCGCGGCCCCCCCCCCCCCCCCCCCCCCCAGCCAGCTGTAAAACCCTGCCGATGCTGGGACTTGATGTCTGATCAATCCCCACAGTCACGGGATGCACTGCCGTGGCAATACCTGGATGCGCCTCAGAGGTCCCTTCTGCCTTCAAGGCCACTGGCCTGAGCTGAGTGAGACAGCGTGGCACAAGAGAGAAAGATGGCTCAGCCATGCTGGACCAGGCTACATGGATGGAGGAGACCTAAGGGTGAGGCTAAGACTAGTCAAGGACTCCCCACAGAGACAGACCAACTCTCCTGCATCCCTGGCTAGGTAGTGCAACCTTTTGCCTGGACAGGTGTGTTAGCACAAGTGCTCACTGACTGTCCTGGGTGGGTGATGCCAACAGTACTTGAGTGTCACCACATCTGTCCAGTGTGCTAGATGCCAGAACATGCCTCATTGTCCTCTGTGAGCTATCAAGTAAAGAAGGGCAGAGGCCTTGGGATAGGCCCCAACAGAAATGCTCCCTGCCTAGTGCTCTAGGACTGTGCTCTCCTCATCTTGCTGGAGCTATCCTGTCTCATCTTGATCTTGCCCAGCAGATGATCTAAGGTACAGCTAATAGATCCCAACTTTGTGGCCAATGTAACAGCACATGTGGTCAGACTGTGTGTCCCAAATCCATGCCAATGCTTAAAGTATCAAGAAGTGGGATTATAGGGGGGTACCTAGTCATGGGGCTGGAATCCCCATTGAGTTGAGGGTGAATGCTATTAGGCCTGAGGAACCACATCTCCACCTTCATCATGTAAGGATGACAATGAGAAGGTGTCACATGTGAAGAAGCAATCCCCAGCAAATGTGGCGCCTTTAGTGCAGGGATGATGGCCTTTCTGGCCTATGGAACCAAAGTCCACTCTCTGTTCCTAAGTTACGGGCTCTAAGGGCTTGCTGTCACAGTGAAAACACGAGCAGTTACATTAAGCATGTGACACAGCCCATGGTAAACTGTTAGGGACCCATTTGCAGGACCTAAAAAGTACCAAGGTCACACTGGCCATTTCAGAAGCAGAGTCAGCCTCATATGGCATCATGGCTTCAGGAATGCTCCCTCAACCTCTGAAAATTGGTCTGTCTGTTAAATATGGTGGCCAAGGGCATCCTGTGGCACTCCTCCCCAAACCGTCTGGTCTGTAATAACTGAGATTTTCTTGCTTCATAGAAGGTGGGAAGCTACAAGGTCTGGCTGTTGCATTTTGTCCCAGGGAAACTACAGAACACACAGAAATCCCCCAATATTCCTCAGAGTCATCTATCTGTTCCCTGCCTGCAAAGCCAGTGTCACTGGGAGAACTTGGATGACTCAAAATTCAGTCATTTGGCCACAGTGAAAAACAAGAACTACCACTGAATGTTCTGTCTGGTGGCATGCCCCCTTGCTGGGGAACAATGTCACTGCCAGAGTGGGTTAGGGAGCGTGCCGTGCAGAATCTCATACCAAATCCCACCCAGGCAGAGTCACTCTTGGAGCTCACCTATGCTCGGGCCCGCTACATCCTCAGCATGGCCTGCCTACCCTCTCCTAGCATTTCTTGCTGCTCCTGTGAAGAACAGGAAAGGTCTGGGGGGAAAGCACAGAACAGTGAAGTTCAAAGTGCCAAGTGAACATATCATTCCAAGTTGAAACTGCTACTCTCGGACATGCTTTGGCTCTGTTCTCGAGGCCCATGGATGGGCTCCCCACTTCATATGGACCTGCTCAGATGACAGACTTCCTGGAAACTGTCCTTATGGCCCTGCCATAATGACCAGAGACACTGAGCCCACTCTTAGAGTCCGCAAGAGGGATTATAGAACAAAGCTGCGCCCAGGTACTTTTCTATCAAACCAAACAGACTTTAGCTTTAACCAGCCACAACAGAGGCCACTGACCATGCTGTTGCGCTAGCCTGGGTCTCTGGCCCAGCCTCCTTGGACTTGCCAGCCAGAAAACATTGATGTCTCTTCTCCCAGCTGTAGGGCTTTTCTGTACATAGACTTGTTCCAACATCTTGCCCCTGTGTAGGAGGCTCTGGGCTGGGCAGAAATAAAGGCGGCTTGCTCCTGAGGTCCTTGCTTTCCTGGTATAAACTGAAACCCAATCCTCTGAGGGAAACATGTCAACTCAACATACCCTCATCCCTGCTGCCTGGACAGGGCGACTGCCCTGCCAAGGCTTTGTGCCGGATCAGCGTGTTCCCTTCCCCAGGTGCTGTGGGCCAACATGTCAAGCATGACGGTGGGACCCTAGAAAGACCTTCCAACCATCTGTTTCCTCAGCAGTGACACAGAAGACTAAGTAAGGCCCGAACAGCGCAGGTTATAAGCAACCCCCCCCCC